GGGGCTAATTCCCACAGTCCAGTCAACTTTTTCAGTGGTTAATCCTGGTCCTCAGACATCGGCTTTAAGTGCAGATTTCTAGAGCCTAAGGACTCCACACCATTTGCAGAGGTGCTGTCTGATGTTCAGCTTGGCTACAAGACAGAGCTAATAGAAAAAAAAAAGAAGCTAGAGCCTTTAACCAGGGCACAGAGGTTCAAAGAACATCTCTGCAAAGAATTTTTCCCCATACACCTTTTATGGCCTAGATGGAGCTGTGGTTCAGCAGTGGCTGAACTGATGGTCTTTGTTTCTGCATTCACAGGGCTTTGTGCTGGGAGATTTCTGTGCCTTGTTGTCCCACAGCAGCCGAGCTGCTTGTACCCGCATCCAAGCCTTGAGGTAGCACAGACAAGAGGGCAGGAGGTGGGGGAGGGCAGGGGCTGCAACCAGCCCGATAATGCCAGGAGTGGGGCAGAGCCTGAGTCCTTCCCTTTTCTTTCCCCAGTTTTCCAGGCGGACTGAGTGAAGAAGTGGAGAGAGATTTTTGCGCTGCTGGGTTCCCAGTGCTTGAGGAGGATTTTAGTGTTGCGCTGGACCAGCTGCATGACACCCATTCACAGGCAGTGGGAGCCCCGAAGGTAGGATGCTGGGGCACAGGAAGTGGGTTGGTTCTGCAGAAGCTGTTGGCTCAAGGTGGCTGTGCGCTGGCACATTGCTTCCTGTGTCTTTCCATGTATTCCCCCAGCTTTGAATGGGAAACAGTCCCCTCTGGGCTTTCCCCCACTAGTGCTTTTGGCTCTTGGCTTTGAATTTGGCAGGGAAGGCCTTGCCATACTAATTGCAGACCACTCAGTTGGCTGGTGCCATAGGGGTTCTAGCTGTGCAGCTCAGCCTTGCAACAGGCAAAGGCAGCTGCAGGCCAGCTGCCTCGCTGAGGTCTCCCCAGCCACCTGGCCTCTGGGAACTGAGAGGCTGTGGCACAGGCTGGTGGGGGAGTTTTTCCACATGTGAAAAGCCAGCCCTGGATGTTGCTTGGACTGGCATGGGCTTTTCTGACAGCCAAGCAGTTTGAAGAGTTTGGAAGTTCTTCAGGTAAAGCGACATGGAGAATCTGAGAAAACCAGCAGAGTCAGCTTCTCAGGAGGGGTGTGATCCACTTCTGGCTGCTTGGCACCCAGGGAAACAGCATTTGGGGTGACAGTTTTTGCTGGGTAATGTGGTATTAGGACCAAGAAAAGTGATCAGAACCTCTTTTCCACACCCATGAGTTCAAACAACTGAGCTCTGCACAGGACAGGAAACCTTGGCCTTGGAGCAGTTATTGTGACATCTTCCCCAATTGCCCACTTGCAGTCTGCCCTAACAAGAAAACACCTTGCTGATGTCATAGTCCAGGAGCTACTCCAGCACTTAATTAATGCATAGATTTACTAGAAACTGAAGTGAGCTCTGATTTGAGGTGTTTGCCAAGTTCGCTGTGAGACAAATAACCATAATTCACACAGCAGTGAGCTGTGTGAATGGGAGCTAATTTTGTTTGTATTTTACGTTCCTTTATCGATTTCTTAATAATTGGTTGCAGTTCAGAAAGCCCATTATCAGACCTGGATACTCTCAACATACATTGCCTTCAGTTCCCTGCTTGCATTTCCTGGTTATTCACATATTTGTTTGCAGTTAAAGCTTGAGCCTTCTAGAGAACACTAATTCCAAACCTCCAGTTGCTAGCAGTGTCTACAACATGTCCTAGACTTACAGCATGCTCCCTTGAAAACAACCTTGCTGCAGTTTTCCAGCTCCTGTGCTGATGTCTGTAGAGCTCTTTCTAGCGAGGCAGTATAAGAAAGAATGCAGAGGAGAGGGCAGCTCTTCCGTTCATTGGCACTGCAGAAGAAGTGCCTGTGACCTTTTGCTTTAAAAGGTTTCTTTTCTGGAAATCTTTGTTTTGTTTAACCTGATTTTCCTGGTGGATTTGTTGGACAGCTACAGAAATAGCAGGAGATAACATAATCTCAAGTAGCAAAGGAAGGAGTTCCAAATTGGCTGAGGGGGAAAGAATTTTGCCCTAGCCTATTTTTAAACTCCCCATTTGCGCTGGCAGCTGTTCCCCACCCAGCCAGCAGCTGGCAGGAGGTGTTCTGGGGCTTTGCTTTCTCTGCAAGTTCCCAGGAGAGCTGCTCTGCCTCTCAGGAGGATGTGTCATGCAGACTGTGGCATTCCAGCTATTTCTAAAGCCGTGAGCAGAGCAGCAGTATCCTCCAGGATTGTTTTGCTCAGCACAAAATAACCAAAGTGGCATGGCTTACCCGTCTCAGGTTTGCTGTCTTTCTTCTATTTGCCATGACCCTTGCGTGTCTGCAGCTGACCCTATCCCTATCTATTTCTTGTCAGCATACATGGACTTTGCTCTTGCATCTCCCCTTTCCAAAGCAGCGAGTGTTCCGTACACTGTCCTACAGGATGCCTGTCTCTCACATCCTCATTTACATCACAGAAGTTCTGGCAGCCCAGATTCTGCCGCTCTGGAAGGTGTGAAGCCCTTGCACAGTCTCATTGCCTTGGTGGGCAAGATACCCTGAACACAAGTAGCTCATAATTGCTAGGTCCAGGTTTCTTTTTTTTTTTTTTTAAATTTTTTGTTCTTTCTTAATTTTTACCTTCCCTCATGCATCCTAAGGGCTGTCTGCAGCAGGACTGTCCCCCACAAAGCTGCAGGCAACCCTGCTGGATACTTTCCCTAGGGTATTTTTGCTGACAGATGATATGAGGTGTGATGGAGGATTGGAGATGAGGTGCACGCTGTGAGTGCAGCATGGCTGGGCATGTGTGCAGTTTGTTTTCCCTATCGCAAAGCTCGGAAGTGGAGAAATGTGGATACTGGATACTGGAGCAAGAGCTGCCCAGGCATGCTTGGGGCTCAGGAAGAGGTGCTGACAAGGATTCTCCCTCTCTTGGCAGATCCCCTCGGTGTCCTGGCAGGATGTTGGTGGGCTACAAGAGGTGAAGAAGGAGATACTGGACACTATCCAGTTGCCTCTGGAGCACCCAGAGCTGCTGTCGCTGGGTCTGTGCCGCTCTGGTCTGCTGCTGTATGGGCCTCCAGGGACAGGGAAGACCTTGCTGGCAAAAGCTGTGGCAACAACATGCACCATGACGTTCCTTAGGTGAAGAGCAAGGGGGGTCACACAATAGGACTGACTTTTCCTGGCAGGGGATGGGCATCCTCTAACTGGCTCCCTCTTCTCTCTGCCCCACAGCGTGAAAGGGCCAGAGCTCATCAACATGTATGTCGGGCAAAGCGAAGAGAATGTGCGCAATGGTAAGGATATACATTCTGCTTCTGCATATGGGAAGACTGGGCTCTTCTGTAGTGCTGAAGGGAAGGACGTAGTGCTTAAACCCCTCTTCTCAACTCCCACCCACAGCTCTCAGCCAGGGCATGTACCCAACTGTCTCCTACACCCAGTCCATTCCCTGCCTTGCTGCTGTTTGCCCTCCTGCTCTCTGCTCCTGTTGCTCTTGTCCCTGGTGTTCCCAACGGGACAGAAGCCTCTCAGAGACACAGCTGAGCCTCGGGGCCCATCCTTCTGGGTGCTGCCTGTCCCTGCTCTACTGAGCCACTCAGGCAGAAGCAGTTGTTGGTGGTGATAGAGTGGGCATCAGGTTTCCATCCATAACTCTTCCCTGCTGGGAGAGTAGCAGGTCCTGTTGCTGTTGACTGCTCCTCCAGGTCTTTTTCACCTTTTGTGCTGTCTCCTTCCAGTGTTTGCCAGAGCCAGGGCAGCTGCTCCCTGCATTATCTTCTTTGATGAACTGGATTCCCTGGCCCCCAGTCGTGGGCGAAGCGGAGATTCAGGGGGTGTCATGGATAGGTAAGTGAGCATCATGTGTCCTTGGGAGAGCAGCAAACCTGCCTCAGCTGCGGGGCAGAGTCCATCCCACCTCTCTTTCTCTACTTTTTCCCCTCCCAGCTCCCTTAAGGGAGCATGGCCTGTTTCCTCTCTCTGAACATTAGTACTGCTGTTTGCATTGCTTTAGGTTCCCAATTGCCCAATCTTGTTGTGCAAACATTTGGTTAAGACAGTCTCCTCCATCTGCTTTTGTGGCTGCCAAGTGCTCCCTTTGGTCTCTCCACAGTCACCCTTCACACCCCTGCTGTGCTCTCCTCCTATTAACTCCTGTTTCAGTGCACTGGGAAACCTTTCAGCTGCTTCTGGTAGAAGCAAAGTGTATACAGCTTAGAGATATACCCAGAAATAGGGTTATTTCCCCCAAGCCTCTTCTGGTGAGCTGGTAGTCCCCATCCAGTCTTTCTCTTTGTCCATGAGGGGTTCTGCAGAATTTTCCAGTGACATCATGTGCTCCTGGCATCCAGCTTCACACACACATAAGACCAGCTCTGGAATGGACTGGGTGTGGTGCTCATTGATCCCAGAACCTGGTGGAGATATCCCTGTGCCAGGAGGCCTGTGTAGCACTGGAATACCGTGTTTGACAGACCAGTTTAAGCCCCGTGGCTGCAGAACTAAATCTACAACATGTGCTGTTCACTGACCTGAGGATTGGAAGTGTTCAAAGCCAGGTTGGATGGGGCCCTGAGCAACCTGGTCTAGTGCAAGGTGTCCCTGCCCGTGGTGGGGGGATTGGAACTAGTTGATCTTTAGGGTCCCTTCCAACCCAAAGCATTCAGTGATTCAGTGACTGGCAGCATAGCTGGCCTGCCAGCATGTCCCTGGCATGGACTGCTGGGCAGCTAGACTTGCTGGGCAGTACCACATTGCAAGGACAGCTAGAACTGGCCAGCACATATGAGTGGGAAACTTCAGCCACAACCATACAAGCCTGTCTGTGTTTGGTCTGTGTTGCCAATGTTAGATAGCAAGTATAAGTTTGTGTGGCCATACTGAAAGGGTTCAGAGCTGAGCAAGACCTGAAGGACTGTCTGGGTACCAGGGATTTGGACTCACTATGCAATGAACCCACATGCTTGCTGTCAGAGAATTCTGGATAGCTTTGTCAGGGTTCTTTAGGGAGGAGAAATAGAAGCTGAAGTCCAAGAAATGGACCTGCCAGTGGACTCGCTTCTTCCTCTTTGCCTTGGTGGCTGAGGAAGACAGTAGGTGACTTGCCAAGGCCTAGTTGTGAGCATCCTGTCTTGCTCCCTGCAGAGTTGTCTCACAGCTCCTGGCAGAGCTTGATGGCCTTCACTCTACCAGAGATGTGTTTGTCATTGGAGCCACGAACAGGCCTGACCTCCTGGACCCAGCTCTGCTCCGGCCAGGCAGGTATGTCACATCCTACCCAGCCTTGCTTCAGGGTAGTTTCCCAGAGCTCTTCAGGCAGGGATGAGCTGGATGGACTGTGTCCCCACCATGCTCCTTCCCCAGAGATTGTTCCTAAAGGTCCCTGGTTCTGGCTTATGAGGGAGATAGGAAGCCAAGAGGAGGCCAGTGCCTGTGGCTGTAGCAGCAGCACAAGATACCACAGCCTGTTCTCCCCACCACTCTGGCTTACTGCCCTAACAGCACAGCAGGGCAATAAGGGACCTGCTGCGGCACCAGACTGATGGAGGAATTGGTCCCCTTGGCCTGTTCTGCAGAATCGCCCCCCAGGTGGTCTTCAAGCCTGTGTCTTGCCCATCTTGGGGCAGAACTGTGTATCAGCTGTTGTTGGACCCTACGTGGTTCCTGTCAGCCCATTTCTCCAGCCTGCCCCTGTCCTTCTGGAGAGCAGCCCTGCTCTCCAGCACATTGACCGCTTGTCCCCAGGCTTTGTATCATCCATGAACTTGACAGCAAAAGGAGCTGTCTCGGGGCCACCCTTCAGTTCCTGGTGCATTGGGCTGAACACAAGGCAGGTTTGCCTTGGCCTGTTCTTGATTGTCCTCTCTTGTCTGACAGGTTTGACAAGCTGGTCTATGTGGGCATAAACGAAGACCGGGAGTCGCAGCTGCAGGTGCTGAGTGCCGTCACCAGGAAGTGAGTGACCCTGTGCTCTCCCAGCAGGCTTCCACAACCCTCCAATGGGTCACAGCCTTCCTGGGGTTGATGCTTAGTGTTCTCCAGCTTGGCTTCATGTCAGAGCTCTGGGCAGCACTTGCGGTCACTGACCCACAGCCAGCAGGTAGGAGAAGAGAATAGAGCAACTTCCAGAAGCAGAATTAGGACTGGTTTTCCTACAAGATGGGAGCAGCTCAGCCTGGCTGTCCAAGTGGAGTGGTTAGTAGAGTTTTCCAGCCACTGTGCCCATATGCTCTTCTTGAGGAGTTCAGCCAAATCTGAACAGTGCTATGAGACTGCAGTGCAGCTGCATGGCAGGAAGCTCCCTTTTGCATCCTGCAAGAATTCCCCCGCTGTTTTGCAGATCCAAGGGTGAAGGCAGCTCCATTCATCACACTACCTCTCTTCCTGTGATGCTCAGGGTTGTTCAGCATGTGCTCCATGTGTCTTTCCAATCTCTGATTGTGTGGGATCTTGTTGAGCAGCAGGGTTTGGCTGCTTCCTCAGCTGCTCTGAGCTCTTGAGAGCATTTCTTAAGGGAGAAGAGGCAAGCCCTGCATTCAAGTACGGAGGTACCACCCACCACAGCTTGGTGAGTGGCTGTGACTCTGCCTCTGCAGGGACTCTGTCATGGATAGCTGTGATTGCTGCTGCCTGTGACAATAAGTTAGTAGGAGAGGCAAGAGTGTGGGCTGGTGGTGAGCAGCTTGTCACACCATGTGTCTTGGCAGCTGTGCCCACTGTCAGTGTGCTGGTCATGCTGAAGGAGGCTTGCTGTCTGCAGCATGGCTCTGATGGGATGGTTTGGTGTTACAGTGGTTTGTACTGTCTGTAATTAAACATGTTCTTACGCAGCCCTGGCTGTAGGCTGTTCCCAGGCATGCAGAGCACTTAATTTATCTAAGTGAGAAGTCAAGCACCAAGTGCATAAACAGATGGTGTTCTAGAGAGTTCATCCTGCACCATGGCTCCAAGACTGCTCCATGCATCCTTTGTGCTTCCTAACAGGTACCCACAACCAGAGAGGCCCAGACAAATTTTGGGTGCCTCATCCTTGGAAGTGTTCAAGGCCAGGATGGATGGGGCTGGTAGCAACCTCATTTAGTGGAAGGTGTCTCTGCCCATGATGGGGGGGTTGGAACCAGATGACCTTTAAGGTCCCTTCCAACCCAGACAGACCATGCTGTGCTGTGATGCTGTGATTCAAAATTGCCTTTGGTTCTGCAGAGAAGACCTTGCTGCAGGGAAATTTCTGAGAGGTGACTATGTTGAAAAAAACCAATAAACTTTGATTTTTTTTTTTAATACTTTTTTTTTTAAGCATGCAGATCACAGTCCAGAAGCAGCTAAACATGAGTACTCTGATTCTTCCTGCCGAGTCACACTGGCTGTCACAGCTTTCCTGGTCTGTTTTTTATGTGGCTTTTACACCTGCATTTTTCTCTCTTGGCAGGTTTAAACTGGATCCTTCTGTGAATCTCACCACCATCCTAGAAAAATGTCCAGCTCAGCTGACAGGAGCCGACATCTACGCGCTGTGCTCAGACGCCATGATGTGCGCTGTCAAACGCAAGGTGGAATGGATTGAGGAAGGTAGGAGCCCTGCCCTTACTTGTTCCACGTGTTGGAGCAGCCCAGCGCAGGGGCAGAGCGGAGAGTTACCACTGCTGTGTGAGGGCTGTGTGAGAAGGCCCTCGTCAGCTTTAGAACCACAATGCTGGGCTCTGGGTTACTGGCTGGCAGGCAGTTTCTACAGATGTGGTCATCACCTCCAGTGGTTGGCCTCAGGGGGAAGGAGTGAGACAGGTTTTCATTGCAGTCTCTGGTGGCTGGAGAGTGGGGCTGTTGGATCTTGCCAGCCACCCCTGCATTTGTCTCTCAGCCCTTTCCTGTTCTTTCTCTTATGCAGGGCTGGATACTGAGAGCTCTGCTCTGATCCTGACCATGGAAGACTTTCTGCAGGCTGCTGCGAGGTTGCAGCCATCAGTCTCTGAGCAGGAGCTGCTCAGGTACAGACTCATCCAGCAGAAGTTTGCAGCCTGCTAATGCTCGGCAAAGCTGGGACTGGAGGAGTGATGAGAACAGGCCCAAAAAGGCACCCACATGCTCTTCTCTGATGCCTCCTGGGCCCCCTTCTTTCGAGCTTGGGTGGAAATAGTGGCTGTGCAGTTTCCTGAGCCAAAGCCTGATGGAAATGCTGCAGTGCTCAGCCAGGAGGGTGGTGGGTCCCTCACATCTGGTGCAGCACATGGTGGCTGCTGGGAGCATGGATGACTTCCTCCTGGGGAGGAAGCTGAATCCCACGGTTGTGGGCAATTGTAGGAGTGTCTCCATGGGTGACAGGGCATTGGTAGGGGAGCAAGACTCAAACTGCATCCAGTTTGTCAGCAAAGCGCAGGGCTGGAGGCAGCTGCTTGTTGGGGTGTCAGCCCCTCCCCAGTGAGGGGTGCTGGCTGGAGGGCAGCAGCACACTGCTGCTCCAGCTGGCCTGGACTTAATGTAGTCTCTGAATAAAATACAGGGGTTTTAGCACTAGGTATTCACTGCCTGACCTCAAGTTGTTGCTTGCTGATGGTGGCTGTAGGCTTGGAAAGGTCCCTGCAAGCCCCTGGGTGGGCTGGGTGTTACACTGTCCTGCAGATAGAGTGGGGAGCACATCTGTGAGCTGGGCTGGGACCACTCTCGTTCCACTAGAATGGCTGGAGCTCATGGTAGATGAGGAGAGCTTCAGGGAATGGGGCTTGCTTTGCTGGGAGCTGAGCTCTGTCTGCAGAGGGAGCCTAGTGCTTCCTGGAGGTGCTGGCTGACAGGACATGAGGCAAGGGGGGCAAGTGGCAGCAAAGAAATTTCCAGTGGATAAGAGGAAAAACTTGTCACACAGCGAGGGAGGGCTTCAGCCTTGGAAATACTCAAACCTTGGCTGGAGCTGCCCTGTCTGCACTAACTTGTGCTGAGCACCAGTTGGCCCAGACCCCCTGCAAGTCCTGTCTCACCTCCCTCTGCAGCCTCACAGCAGCTGCTGGCAGCAGTGTGTATGCCCGGCTTCCCGGCCTTTACCAGGGGTGCCAAACAAATGGCACTTGAGCTGTGTGTGGCCACCAGCTGGCCAGCAGCTGCCACCGCCCGGTCCCTGCAGCTGCTGGTGCAGCCCCGGGGCAGCCTCATGCCCAGCCAGGGGCCCATGTGTGCCCCAGCCCAAGGGGTTGCTGGTGCCGGGCTTTGCCCCGCTGCTGTCGGCACTGAGCCTGCTGGCAGCTGGATCCCTGGGCCAAGGGGTGTGGCTGTGAAGGCCTGCTCCCCACTGAGCTCCTCCACAAAGGACTGGCTCCCTAGCAGCTTGTGGCATTCCACGTGTGAAGCTGCAGCTGGTGCATGCCTGGAGCCCTGTTGCTCCAGCTCTGGCAGCTTAGCGTGTTTGGGCAGAGCTGTCCCTGACCGCACTGCACTGTGCTACTGGATCTGAGCATCACATCTTCCCTGGGGTGAAAAGGAGGGAGCTGCAGCCACAGCAAAAGCACTGGTAGAGGCTCCAATGTGGGAGCCCCAGTGGGGGGAGGGGGGTGGTTACCCCCGGGATGGGGCTGAGGGGTGTCAAGCAAAGAAGTCAGCAACTGGTTGAGAGGTGGAGGGGAGAAAACAGGTTGCAGCACACTCCTGTGAGCAGTTCTGCAGTGGGCTCAGCAGGGATGTGTAACCACCTGGGAGCCAGCTCACCCTTGTCTCCAAGAGGACCCCCAAACCCCACACCACAGGCATGGCTGGCACCTGCATCTGGGGGCTCAGAGGTGAAACTGTACCTGCACCCACCCCATGCTTCCCCCAGGCTGTGGCTGTCCCCCTTGCCCCATACCCTGCCCGTACAGGGACACACGGACCATGATCTCCAGTAGCTCTCACAAGTGTTCTTAATTAAGGAGCGGCATCTCCCAGGCAGCTCTCAGCAATGTCCCCACCCCCTGCTCGTCCCCAGAGCTGCTCGCAGCTCTCAGCCACCACAGTCCCATCTCCATGGCCCCCTCAGCCTGTCTTCTTCACGACATGGATGAAGTAGCAGGGCACATGGGCCTGTCCCGGCGTGTAGGGCTGGAAGTCGCCCAGGACACTGTGCTGGCACTTCCCTTGGAAGGCACCTTTCAGCAGAGCTGTGAAGGCCTCCAGCCGGTGTGGGTAGTATGAGAGCCGAAACTTGCTGCAAGGAGGCAATGCTGGTGAGGCCTGGGGACAGTGGGGCACAGTGCCAGCCACCCCCCTGCTAAGAGCCACCTCTGCAGCCCCTCTCACCTCAGCTCCGGGTCTGCCCCCGCCTCAGTGGGGGGGACCTGCACCGTGTAGTCCAGGGTCACCATGTGTGCCTTGTTGTTTACCAGCAGCACTGAGGTGGTGATGTCCTTGGTCAAGTCACTCTGGGAGACCACAGGAGGACTCAGTGGCCCCCAGCCTGGGCAGTCCTGCTGCCTGCCCCACCCGGGGCCATGGGGCTGGGGCAGAGGGGATTGGGATGGGGCAGGGGCTGCCAGCCACCCACCTTGTAGTAGATGTTCTTGCCAGGCGGTGCACAGCCCGTGGCCAGGATGTGATCATAGTTGCGGTGGTCAATGACCAGGACACCCCCCGGCCGCACCATGCTGGCAATGTTCCTCAGGGCCAGCTTGTGGTCACTCTGGTCCCCTGGGGAGGAAATGGTGGTGTCTCCAGGCACTGGCTGTACCCCATGGCACAGCCCATAAGGCCCCATCTTACCCATGTAGACACACACATATACCCCTTCCCCTACCATCTCCCCCCAGTCTCAGGTTGGAGAACCGACAGCATCAGCTCAGGCACATTCTCAGCCTCACATGGGGAACCCACCACCCCACTTGTGGCACAAGTCTGGGTGTGCCTCCAGTCTTGCCAGAGCTGTGACATAAATGCACACAACCTCCTCCACCGCCACTATGGAACCCAATGAGCCCACTCATGTCACGAACTGGGGCATGTTCTCAGCCTCCCTGGAGATGCACCATGACACAGCAGCTCCACTGTGTGTTATCCCCTGTCCTGCCAATGGCAGGAGTTAGGGCACATTCTCAGCCTGCAGGAGACGGTGTGCACAGGTACTCCCCCTCCCCTCCCTCCAACTCACCTTTGAAGTCAGGCAGGTGTGCAAAGGAGTTGCCGAGGCAGATGACTGCATCAAATCCGTCCCCTGGTTTCTCCAGGTCCTTCTCCAGTGTGAGCCAGTTGGCCTCCTCAATGACTGCAGCACAGGGAAATGGATGAGGGCAGGGACACGCAACAGCCTCCCCTGCCTGCAAGACCCCATCCCAGCACCACCTAGCCCTTCCCTGGCCCCTGCAGGTGCTGGATCTAGTCTGTGGCCAGCAGCCAGGCAGGCAAGAACCATGGCTTGGGTTTGCCGAGGAGCTGGCACCAGCAGGTCCCTGCCTGTCCCTGCAACAAGGCCACCCGGCCAGCAGCAACCCCAGACGAGGGGCCTGAGCACTGCGAGGGGCCAGAGACACTACAAGAGAGGGGCACAGGGCAGAGTCCCGTGCGCCGCGGTGGGGTGTCAGTGTCCCCACGCCTCTCCCGGTCCCTACAGTCCCCGCACCCCATCGGTCGAAGGGCTCCTCTTTGCGCCGCTCCCAGCGCTCCTTCAGCGCGTACTTGAGCATCTTGTCGCTGGCGTCGACGCTGGTCACCTGGAAGCCCTCCTCGAGCAGCATGATGGAGTCCACCCTGGGGACACGGCTGTCAGCAGGACCGAGCTGAGGGGGTCGGGAGGGCTTCAAGGGAGGGGGACACTGGGGATGGCCGAGGGCACCGAGGCCCCGGGTAATCCCGGGCAGCGGGGAGGGACACCCGGCAGGGCAGGCGGGCGCGGGGCGCGGTGCCTCACCCAGTGCCGCAGGCCACGTCGAGGACGGAGCGGCAGCGGTGCTGGCGGAGCAGCGCCAGGAGCCAGCTGCGGTACTCGGCCGTGCGGCTCCGCGTGTCCCCGATGTACAGCTGCCACACGCGGGCCGCCTGCCCGTCTGCGTACTGGTCCGGCAGCCCCTCCGCCGCCACCCCCAGCGACCGCGTCCGGTACACGCTGTCCACCATCCCGCCGACACGGACACCGACCCGGCCCCGGACACCGACACGGCCCTCGCGGCCCCGCTGCGCCGCGAGACCCCGCCCCCGCCCGCCCGCCAATCGCCGCCGTGCCCGCCCCCGCCCGCCCGCCAATCGCCGCCGTGTCCGCCCCCGCCCGCCCACCCGCCAATCGCCGCTCCGACCGCGCCCCTCCCGAAACCACGCCCCCCGCGGCAGCCCCGCCAATCCCGGCCGCGCCCTCTAATCCCCGCCCCCGGCCCGGCCAATCACCGCTCGCCTGGCGCCCCCCCGCGGCCCCGACCTTCGGCCCGGCAGGGTCAGGGCCCGCCCGCAGCAGGATCTGCGCTCGTCCCAGCACCGCGGGCGAAGAAGGGCCGGCAGCGGAGGCTCTGGGGAAAACGTCTTTATTTACAGTCCCGGCTCGGTGCGAAGAGCCGGCGCCGGGGCAGCACTCGCAGCCTCCCGGAGCTGAAGCCCCCGGCAGGGACGCACAACAGGGCTGGGTCCGCGGCTCCGTGACACCTAATCGCAGGATGGCACCCAGGCTGACAAGGCAGGACCGGGCGCTCTGGTCTCCCCCGGGTTGCAAGTCCCTTTTCCTTTGGTACCCACAGGCACAACGGGTTGAAACCCCAGAGCAGGCAGCCGCGGGGGCTGGGGCTGCGTGTCTACAGCTCATCAGCTGGGCTGTGGGTGAGTGGAGCCTTCTCCTGAACCCCCTCCTCCAGGGCCTCCCCTGTGTCCAGGAGGCTGGCAGCTCCCACGCTCTCATCCTTCTGGTCCTTTTTCTTCTTCTTCCCGCTCTTTTTTTTGCTCTGCTTCTCCTCCACACTTGCCAAGTCGCCCTTCTTGCCAGTCCACTTCTCTGCCAGGCAGCCTGGGGAAGAGAGGGGCAGAGTGGGCTCTGAGGGAGAGGCAAGGTTCCCTGTGCCCTGGGCAAGGCTCCCCTGCCCTTCCTGCACGGCCCCTGGCAGCAGCCAGGACTTACTTGTATCCTTTCCTTTTAGCACATGGTTGGCACAGAGAAACTGGGAGAGATCCTCCGTCTGGTGATGCCTGTACCAGTCCTCGATCACATCTTCATACTCCTCCACCAGCACATCGCACTAGGCAGAGAGGAGAGCCCAGCTCCAGACACATGCTGGTGCAGCAGGACCAGGACGGCAGGTCCTGCTAACACCCTGCTTCCAGCAGCGCACCCTTAGACTCTCTCCCCTTCTACTCTGGCCCACCAGGTCACAGAATCCACTGAGGACCAGTCCCACTGGTCTAGGTACCTGCTTTTTGAGGTCAGCCACCTCAGCGGAGGTCTCGTTCCACAGCTCATAGGGGATGTCCATCACCACCTTGACGCCCTTGTGCACCAGGTTGTGCAGGGTCTCGAATGTCTCCGACATGCCCTGAAGGAGCAGAGCTGCCTGGTCAGGTGGTGCTCTTCCTGCCAGGCTCCCGCTCTCCCCTCCCAGTATTAGCCACACAACCCTGCCGAGCAATGCAGGAACGTGCAAGCCAGACAAAGTCAGGCCCCTGGGGGGAGCCTTACCCCCCAGGTAAGGCATTACCAGGAGGGAGTTCAAGTGGCAACAAGTCCCTGTCTGCAAACGTGGTTCCAAAACCAACAGGAAGACAGCCTCTGGTTCCCTCCATGCAGGCGAGGGCAGGGGCCTGCCCACCGCCACCAAGGACAGCACCCCATACCTGACTTGGGGGGCAGCATGGCCTCTGATGCTGGGCACTGGCAGGGGATCCAGAGGATGGGAAGAATGAATGTGATTTGTCACCCTGGCAGTGCAGGAGACATTTGGGAGCAGGGAACTGGAGGACAGACCTCACCTTCGCGAATCTGTTACTGCCGCTCCTCTCCTTGTGCAGGTTGTAATCCAACAGCCGCTTGCAGATGTTCTCTGTCACCTCGATTAACCGTATGTCCCTGCACGAAGATGAGGGCTCAGGCTTAGCATGGCCCCCCAGGAACAGCCTCTCAAAGCCCTCAGCTCTGCAGACCACAGGCAGGGACAGCAGCAGGAGACCCCCATCCCACTCCTACTTACGACTGGGTGTACTTGACGGCAGAGCCCTTCCCGTCCAGGAAGCCGTACTTGGTGTCAATCACCTCCTTGGTCTTGCCAGTCTCCTCAAAAGCAGATTTCAGCTCCACAGCCACGTACTTGCACACTGCAGGGAGGAGAGCACAGGCAAGTTAGGGGGTGTCACTGTTCTGATGGCCAGTGGGACGGAGCAGCTGGGACAGCAGCAGGAACTAGCCCAGGAGCCAGGCACACCAAATCTGCTGTGAACACAAAACACACCTTGGCTGCTCAAAGAAATAACCAGGAATGGCTCAACTGCTTCCACTGGAGAACTCCTGAAGCAGGAACACCGAAAACAATGCTTCAGTGTAAGCCAGCCACTACGGCACAGCTGGGAAGTCAGACAGGGCCAGTTCTGCCTGCAGGTTTCCCCCCGAAGCTTCTACCTCCACAACACAAGCTGCTCTCTTCCTCTTGAAGAGGACAGGATCTTTTCGCAATGCATGTCCCAGCATGGGTCGTAGTTTCTCCTCGTGACCACAAAACATCCCACCTGGTAATGGTTCCCTCAGTGCTCTGGGGACACAGGGACTGTGCTGGGGACCAAGCGGCTGGCAGGGCCCAGTGGGCTGGGTGGCAGGACAAGGTGCTGGCTATGGACTGTGCCGCTGCCAGAGAGGCCATGAACTCAGGCAACACTGCAGCAGAGATCACAGCACCAACAGCTTTAGAACGCAGTGCATGGTTTCTTTTATAAAACTAAAAAAAAGCTTTATTTCTTCTGTAAAAAGAGTTCAACAGAGCTACAGAAAAAGAGAGCAGGAGAAATATCTCAGGCATTTACAGCTGGAAATGTAGAGGGGTGGAAAGGAGGCACTGTGTCGGAGGGGTGAAAGCCAGGACTGGTGTGGCCCTTGCTTGCCCAAAACTAGGATTGCGGGAAGCTGGAGAAAGTTTTGTCCTCTGCTGTTTGTCAGGAGCCATCTCTTCTTCAAGCCCCACTTCAGGAGAAGGGCCAAGCCCCAGCAAGAGTTGTCTGGTGGCAGCAATGAGACATTGTCCCAGGCAATGATGTGAGCAGAGGGTCGTGCCACAGGCAGGAAGAGAGCAAGGTGGCTTCTCCAGAGCTCCCATGCATATGTTGAGAATCCCTGTGTGCACCTCCTGCACGATCTTTTCTCTGCTGGCACCAGGGGCTGGAGGTGGCTGCAGCCATTTCTCAGATGGGATGAGCGTTCATTCCTGCAGCCCCTCTGGACTCAGGCCTTGAGGATGTCCCTTTCCACACCATACCTGCTGCAGTGTCTCCACACATGCCAGGTGTGCTCACTGCTGGATCCAGTTATCCAGGTGCTGCCCACAGCTATTGCTGCACACTGGCACAGGTTCCAAGCCTGGGCAGGAAGAGGAGCATAGGCTGGTCAGTGCTCGCTCTGATGCTTCTCTGAGGATGCAGGTGTCACAGCAGAGCTCGGACATCAGTGTCTCCAGAGCTACTTCCTCAGAAGGGAAAGCTTTGTAAAGAGCTCCATATTTCTTTACTTTCTCTTTGCCGTCCAGCTCCACCTGTCCCTACACAGCAAAGGCGGAGGAAACCGCAGCAAACAGCAAATGTCCGTCACGACCTGCCCTGGATTGCCTGTGAACCAAGGAACTGCTCAGGGAGGAAGCGTCGCGGAGACGAACTGTAAGCAGCAGAAACGAGCAGCCCCAGCTACGAACCGGGGACACCGGTGCCCGCGGGCAGGAGGCGGGCAGAGGGGCAGCCCGCAGTGGCGCAGCCCCGCACCAGAAACCCCCAGCTCGAACAGGCAGCCGGCGACGGCCGATCCCCCCGGCTCCCTGCGGCCCCGCTTACCCTCGCACTTGCTGGGCAGCCGCACCCAGTCCGAGTCGTCGCCCCTCGCCAGCGCCGCCGCCGCCATCAGCATCACCAGCAGCGCTGCCCCCGCCACCGCCGCCGCCATGGCTCCGCTTCCGGGGCGCGCTCCCGCCGCGCCCCACCCGGTAACCATAGCGACCGAGCCGCGCCGGCCAATCCCGGCGGCGCGCGTGGCCCTCACGACCAATCCCCGCCCGCCTATCCCAGCGGCGCGCGGCCACGCCGGGCGGTCCCGCCGAGCGCCCACGTGGCCCCGATGCGAACGGCCGCCCCCGGGGTCCTTCCCTGCCCTGGAATTCTGGGAACCTTCCCCCCGAGGTATCTTGGGCTCCCTTCCTATTCTCCAGGTAATTCCGGGGCCATGCCACCCACAGGAACATGGCAGCCCCTCTCTCTTGTCCCCCCAACACAATATTCCCACCCAACACCCCCCCAAATGACACTGTCTCTCTCCCTCCCTCTCCAGTCTCCACAGTATTTTGGGTGCCTTTCACACCCCTAGGCCGAAACAGGGGGACTTACCCCTCAGGGGTAGGCATCTGCCAAGCCCTCAGCTCTGGGCGAGGAGGATAGAGGTGAGGAGGGCATCTGAGAGCACGACCTTCAGCAGCACCACCCGAACAGCCATGAGCAGAGCTGCCAAGGCATGGTCCGAGAACACTGCAATGGAAAGGCGGGGGTGACGCCTGCCACAGAAAACCCACTGCCCCCACATCCTCTCCAGGCCTGCCACAGGGCCAGGTTCAGGGGGATCTGGAAGCCTTACGTGTGCCAGAGTCACCTCATGTCACCCTCATGCTGTCCCTGAGGCAGGCTGGCTCTGACCCACCATCCCCATTCTTCCCACCAGGTGCCTTCACACTGGGAAAACCCATCCCAACCACCACACAGCTGCAGTCAAGCCCCTGCCAGGAGCCCAGCAGGGTTTTCTCCCTGGTAACTGACATTCCCACCACGGTAGGGCCAGAGACTCACCAGCTGTGCTACCAGGACACAGCTCTGCCACCTCCTCGTTGCCTGTGGGATGAAAGAGCAGCTGGGGAGGCACTGGCAGCCCAGCACCAGGTGTGCAGCAGGGCTGGCCACAAACCCCTTCCTGTGCCTGCCAGTCGAGGCAGTAACGTTGGCCCACAGGGCCTCACACCTGCTTCCAGAGACCCTGCCACCCCCCTCCTCAGGGGCCACCGGGGCATCCAACAGGTTGGGCAGCAGTGGGCAAGGCAGAAGGGGTGGCAGCAGGGTCATACCCGTGATGCGGATGGGGCTGGAGCTGTGGGACGGGGAGGTCCTGTTGGCCCCGACATGGCAGGCGAGTTCTCCCTCGGCCAGAAGGTCGTTGGAAAGGAGGGAGACAGAGCAGACGGTGCCACCATCCTCCTGAGAGGCCCCGTAGGCAAAGGACGGCAGGACGCTGCCATTCCCGCTGGAGATCCAGACAGAGTGGCCGGAGCTGGGGGCCAGGTCGCTCACCACACAGACCACCAGCCGCCGACGCTGCCCGGCCACCACCATGCTCAGTGGTGGGGCCAGGGTGGGCAGCGGCATGGCTGTCCTGCCAACTGGGGGAGACAGGCTTTTAGGGGCACTGCATCCCTCACACATCCCACCCAGCACGGCTGCCAGCACGGCGGTGCTCATTCTTCACACACAGGCTGGTTGGCATCAGGCCCGTCCGCCCCCGGGGCTGTCCTGGGGCTACTTGGAGGGTACTCACGGGGCAGCAGCGGGAGCAGAGCGGCAGCCAGCAGCACCCGGGGCACCTCCATGGCGGCTCCGGCACATGGGGCTGCCGAGGGCTCAGCCCCCAACCGCGGCACCAGCTGCGCCGCCCCTCGCCGGGGCTGCGGGGCCGGGGCTGGCTCCCCCCGCCGCAGTAGTACCGTCCCCGCCCCCCGCCGGTGGTACGGTCCGCCCCGCCCCGCCCCACCGCTCCTTCCCGACCCCGCCATGGAGCGGGTCCCGGTCCCGGCCCCGGCGCCGCCGCCCGCCGCCTCCTTGGCCGAGGTGCTGCAGATGGTGCGGAGCGGGCGGGAGCCACCGGGCGTGCGGCGCCCCCGCGCCTCGCCCACGGGGGACACCCCCACCGCCTCCCGCCTGCCGCCGCCCACCAAGCCCTGGGAGCGCCGCCCCGGCCCCGCCGGGCCCTGAGCACCCCCCGCGGCCCCAGCACGGCGCTGACGGCAGGTGATGTAGAAACGTACCGAAGAACTCTTGACCAGCTCTGCCTTGCGGCGGGGGGGTGGAGGGGAACGGAGGGCGCCTGGGACAGGGCTGGCTGGCAGTGGGGCAGCGGCTGCCGTGCACTTAGGGGAGCAGGATGAGCTCCCGCCCCATGGTGTCCACGCTGCACGTGGATTCCAGCGTGATTCAGGGTTGGAGCCAGGCTGGAAAGGCCTCTGCTTTCTTCTGCTTCAGCCAGAGACAAGCAAACCAGAAAAAAAAACACCCAACCCCAGCACTGTGTTGCTACACCAAGACAGATGCTGGGTTTGGCCACACCAAACACTCCCAGGACACGACTGACAGGGCAACCGTGGTTACTTGCAGTCAAGGCTGTGGCTTCATGCAGTAGAACTTTGTGCCTTCTTCTTCGTGGGTTAAGGCACATGTATGACAATAAAGCAAAACAAAACATGTCCAATCACTTTAACACATAGCCATCATTAAGGCATAGGTTTTTCAAGGATTTTTCTTCAAAAAACAAAATATATTTTTTTTTGTCATTTTCAGCATCCACATTTCATGCTGTTTTATGACCTCCACCTCTGCAGCTTCAGCCAGCACTCAAAGGACAAAGAATCCCACCACTCTCAACCCAGGAGCCTAGTGGGAGCAGCAGTATTGCTTGATTTCCATACACCACTTTTTGACAGCTAGTGAGCCTTTAGGAAATGCAGATTAACTTCAACAGAGCCATGTTTCCTCTCCACACAGCTTGGTGACCACCCCATCTCAATACAACTGTCTAATTAATCTTGCAAAAATTTGAAGAACCTGAGAACTGACTGACATAACACTTGAAACTCTCAGGGGCAAGGGCAGGATGACACGTGCCTCCTCCAAGCAGCAGCACTGCTGTGCTGAGGACAAAGCTACTCCACCTTGAGCTTTGTTTTTATGTTCATGGCTGCCAGCTCTGCCACAAAGTAACGGAAGACATGGGGCACAGGGACAACCTCAATCGTGTCCACCTCACTGCAGACTGAGCAGGAGTACCTCCTGCTGCTTGCCACAGAGGAGTGGGGCAGTTTCTCCAGTACAGGAGATGTCATGCTGCCACAGCTTGTGCACACGTAGGCAATGGAGCCATCGGAGCAGTTGAACAGGCGGTCTTGCAGCAGGAAAGATGTGCCATGAGCCAGCAGAGCATCCCGCTCCATCTCACCAAAGCGAATCCCACCTTCCACGTTCCTCCCTTTGACAGGCTGGTTGGTGACAGCATCTCGGGGCCCCGTTGTTCTCACCTGGAACTTGTCCGAGACCATGTGGCGCAGGCGCTGATAGTACACCACTCCCACAAAGATCTCTGCCTCCAGCTCCAGGCCGCTGATGCCGCTGTACATCTTTTCTGTCCCAAAGAAGTTATAACCCGCGCTCACTAAAGTCTCACCGAAGTATTTCAAAGCGGACTTCTTCTCTGTGAAGGTGAAGGGAGTGGCATCATAGGAGACACCATGCAGTGCTGCCGACTTCCCCGCCATGCTCTCAATCAACATTCCAATGGTCATACGGGAGGGAAAGCCATGAGGGTTGAAGAGGATGTCTGGAACCATCCCATTCTCTGTGAACGGCATATCCTCAACTGGCCAGAGCTGGCTCAGGATACCTTTCTGTCCGTGACGGCTGGCAAATTTGTCTCCAATAGTTGGATTTCGGGGAACCCTCACAGTGATGCAAGCTTTCTTGAATTTCCCAGTGCCACGGTCATTACTGCATAACCTGACATTGTCTACAATGCCAACTTCCTTATTCCTGTGTAGGCAGAAAAACAATCACAGCAAAGGTGTCAGGCACATCAATGATTTTTAGCTAGGAAAGGAAAATTAAGCAAAAAACCTTAACCACTTCATAGTTCTTATAAAATGCCTTGGGACAGCTGGGAAACACGACCTTTCTTCAAAGTACTATGCAGTGGCAAAGGTAATCAGACTGCGTAAGAATTAAGGCAAGAAAGCAATATAAGGGCATCTCACAAATGCCATTCAGCTACCACTTCCAGGTCAGCAGGTCACATGCCACCCATGATTTGAAATAAAGATCATTTAAACCTGGTTCATCTGTATCTGAGATACTTTGTATCTGAGAAACTGCATCCCAGCATCATTTCCTTTGTGTTAAGGCAAGTCCTTCTTCCTACCTCCAATAAATTGACACTATATTGATGGAATACCAAAATAAAGAACCGGGTTCAGTTCTTTAGCAGAGACAAAAGTTCAGATCAGAAAGGGAAGGCAAAGTGTGAGCTTTGCCAACAAGTGCCTTGTTCAGGGGTGTGTTTCTTCTCCAGATGAGCCCTCAACCTCCATATTCCATGTGCTGGGTGTCTGCTAATTGTTGTTACAGAGCTTTCAGCCCAAACTCTCCACTTATTTTGGAGATAATGGCTAAGGAATACATTTTGTCCCAAGACAAGGCTAATTTCTCCTGTGTCCTAATGAACACAGTGTTTGTGGAAGGCCTATACACAAGTTTAGCTCCTGTTTCAAAGCTATTATTTTGTTGTGTCCATATGCAACCAGCACAGGCCATCACAAAAAAAAAAAAAAAGACAGAGAGAAAACTGTGCTTCAAGTTTCCAAAACACAGTCCCATACTAGCCACTGTGAAGAAAATTAACTCTATTCCAGCTAAAACCAGCACAATAAGCCTCTTCCAAGCTTGTTCAAACTTTTGAAGTCAAAGGCTTTGTCCTCCCAGGCCCACACCTACGGTCTAGCAGCATAAGAGGCACTTAGGACAGTAAAGAGAACTCCCTCAAAAGGGGCAAATTGGGAGCAGGAGCCAAGACTGAAATCTGGGAGCCTCATCTCTCTGTAGAAAACTAAATAATTACCTCATCGGGATCGAGAATGAACAAAAGCTGAATGTTACAGAGGTAAAATGGCTCTCTGGATAAGGAATCTTAACTAAGGCCAGGCTAGCATGAGTGCTGGGGAGCTGGACCATGGGGCAGGAGAACCAGAAGACGAGGCTGAGCTTACAGACCTCCACATGATAATGTGCCGAGTCTCTTAGTCCTGCTCTACGAGTAGATTGACTAATTCTATGAGTCCACAGCAGACTCCCCAGTGCAGCCAGGGCAGCATCTGTTACAGAGCAATAAACAATGGCCTTCCCAGTAATTCCAGTTACTGTGTCACCCAAGTGCTTCTCAAACTAATTTGCCTTCACAATGTGAATAATTACACAGCACTATCCCCACTCTGTCAGTGCTGTAGAGGGACACATGGACAACCTGAAGTTGTATGGACAACTGGGAGTGCAGGATGCACTTAAATACATCAGGTTTTGTCAACGTTTTTGATTTCCTTTCCTGAAAGAATTAAAAGGATTTTAATGAAAGCCCCAGCATCCTCCTTTCTTTCAAATGAAGTTCAAAAATCTTATAAAATTTATCCCCAGAATATTCCAGGGGGAGGGAGGGGTATAGTTGACATATTTTAATATTCTGCAGAATCTGTAATGTTAATAAAAATGCTCTTTGTACCCCTAATCCTGTAACAACTTTCTTACAAGGTTTTCTGGCAAGCCTCTGGGATCAGGAACTTCGTTTCGTTGGGTTTTTTTTTGTTTGTTTGTTTGTTTGGTTTTTTTGTTTTGTTTTGTTTTTTTGTTTGGTTGGTTGGTTTTGGGTTTTTGTTTTGTTTTGTTTTGTTTGGTGTTTCTTTGCTTTTTTTTTTTAGACAGAACATCTTATGCAAATCAATCGACAAAAAGCTACAGAAAGCGACTGTGGCGTAGGCAGAGCAGCAATCCTTGGGAGACAGCAAAACACTTCTGCAAGTGCTTTCTTTTCACCCGCCTCAGATACTCCTCTTGGGATAAGTCAGCTCTGCAGCACAAATTGGCTTAGAGAACAGATGTGATGCATGAGTGGGAGTCGTCTACAGCATGAACCTCATGGTCTCTGTCAAGACACGGACACCAGGAGAAAAGGGAACACCTGGAGAAAAAGGGCCAACTGCTCTCACCACCTGGTGAGCAGAGCCAGGACAGACAAGCTGTACTTACGGATAGTACACTGTAAAGGTCTCCCCTGTGTTGAGGTTCATGAAGCTGTAGAATGGGTCTCCAGGCTGTAGAATAGACCCAACAAAAGGCAGTCCGTCAGCATCAAGCTTCTCCGTAAGGTTTGGATCACCAGGCTTGATGCCAAATACTAAATTATCGCCTGCCCTGCTGGCTTTAAGGGAAAGGTCAATGCTCTCCATCTTGATAACACTTCCAAAAGCAAATCCTCTCTGCCAGGAAGATTTATTCACAATCTAAAAAGAAGAAACAAAGGCTTGTTAAAGACTTGCTAGTAACTTCAAAAAAGAAAGCATTTACAAGGTAAGCATCAGATCATTATGGAACACTGCCTTCCTAAACAAAGCCTCCCAGAAAGTCACCGTTCCAAAAGGCTCAAGCCTCCTGTAACCCCAGTATTTTTCAATGCTGGAAGCTCACTGTCTTGCACAAAGGAGCTCTGCTCTACTCCCAGTACCTCCAGCATTACCTGCCGTAACAACACTTAACCAGTGCGCTCCTGAATCTGCCCAAAAAGTGTGAGGACTAGCAAAGGCAGAAAGCAGGGTCTTCTCAGCTAGGTACCATCCTTCTTCCCAGTCCCCCACATCAAATTCTTTCAGATAACAGCAGGATTTCTCCTTTTGGTAGCTTACCATTGCATCTTCCATGTCATAGCCGCTGTAGGAGATGACAGCTACGACTGAATTGGTGCCGACTGGGTAGCTGTCCATACCATAATAGTCATACATGCTGGGCCGCACCAGAGGGCTCTGGGGGGTGTGAAGGTGGTACAGCTTGTTATCTGAGCGATCCTTGTAGTTATAAACTGGAAACCCCATGGTTTGCTTTCCTAGAAGGAAGGTAGGAAAGGAGGAAAGGAGGAGGAAAGAAACTTGTATTTATTCAGGATCAATTCATAATTAATGTACATTTCATCCTCCATGTATCTTGTTAAGAAAAAAGGTGGAAATACTTAAACTTTAGAGGGATTATCAATCTTAAACCCCTTGGAATTTAGTAACTGCCCTAAGCCCAGCTATAAATTTTCTATGAACCACAATACTCAATTCCTTTCATAGCATTTTATAAGGACTATTTTTAATTTTGTTTTATTTTCTGCAATTTCAAAATCCCCACTATGGTTGGTGTGGTGGCTTTGGTTTTGCTTAGTTGGGGATATTTTTTTGTTTGTGGTTTGGTTTGCTTTTTTGAGAGGTGTGTCTGTGTCTTCTCCCCAGGGTTTCCCATAGTGAGGCACATGTTAAATATTTCCAGGCCAAAAAGCATTTGCTCCTGCAGTATAAATATAATGGCGAGGAAAGAGTTTTAAACATAGTCACATTGGTACTTTCAGGAAAGTATGAGAAACTGGTTGTGTTTTAAGGACATCTTTCTAATATTAGCGTTAGAAATTCAATATACTAGAGGT